TATTATGTATTGCAGCTGCATACAAGAGTGGATAAGCTTAGCTAAAGACTGGTACTTTTCTGCTGGCCATTGAGTTTAGCATAGCTGCTCGTACAATTTTATTAGATACAGTTGCCAACTTTTACTGGCTATTTTGGTTGTATTGGGTGTCCTATATTTTAACTACTTGAGTAGAAGTGGTGCATGCATGTCTATATATGTTGGTTACAGTACATGCTATGTCCTTGTCTCATTGAAAAGAGTTTTTTTAACCCATCATGATTTTATGATCTTGTGAGTTGTATTGTTTTTTTCATCATGTCTTAAGGCAATGTTCCATTCCATCACTAGTGAGAGAGAAACAAAAAACTTTAGTTTGATAGCAGTCAGCTGTTTGACTAAAGAAATTCTGTTTCTTTTTGAAATTTACAAATTAGTTTCATTTTGTGATACTTGAGCAACTTTTTTTAATGTATCAAATACACAATTATTCTTCTATTTAGTAATTTATCAGTATAATTGCTGGTACAGTTATTCTTATGTTTGTCCGATTGAGGCTTTAGTAGTCTGAGGATGCTATCTTAATGTCTTTAATGGAGACTCTTTCGCCCTTAAGGAGACTCTTTCGCGCTTTTAGTCAAGTCCCCCTTAGGTTTTTGGAGTGGATGAATACTTGTTTGTTGAAAGACATTGCTACAGGACTCAGAGTTAGAAATGGAGGTATCTTTTCTGCTCATGTAGTTAGGCCCTGGCATTTTCCTGATTACTGCATTTTCAGCAATGACTTGGGATAAAGATGGACCTTAGAGGAAGTGAAAACTGAACCTGTTACAGATATTCTGGTTTCTAGTGCTATTCCAGTTGTGCTCATACATGATATTAGCTGGAAGTAATTCTCACCTGCCCTCTACATTTTTATCTTACAGTAATTTGGGTAGTCTTGAGTTTACTTCCCTTGTCCGTCCGTTAGTCTTAAAGTCCATACATTCTTGTGATATGTCTAAGAATAAGTTAATTTGATGTCTACGTCTCTTGTAAAGCATGTAATCGGCATAAAAAAAAAAAAAAGGGAAAAAGAAAATAAGGCTTTTGCTTATTAAGTCTTTATATTCACAAATTGCAGATATCCCACATTCTCAGCTGCCTGCAGGTCAGCAGATGCATAACTATTTGGCACGAGATGATGATCATGGTGGGCCTCAATCTTTGAAGGACACAAAAACAATTGATTCAGCATATGATCGGTACCTCAAGAGTACGGTATGCTCTTGAATTTGTAGTTATGACTTGTTTTATTCCCCATGCATCCTCATGTTTGATTTCTAAATCATTCATCAAATTGCTTTTGAAGCAACTTTCTTCTTTTACTTCTGGAGAAGCCAGTACTTTGGGTGGGTTAGGAAGGGGTGGTGGTGGAATCTCTGCTTATACAGTAATCGATTCTCCTGTGTTGACTCGTCCTGGTTCTGCCAGTCAAGATCTGATTCTAAGTGGTCGAAATGCTGGTTATAGTGCAAAGCTTCTAACAGAGACAATGGCTAGGCCAGCCCGAGAAACAGCACCTTTGCCTCCAGATGCTTCAAATACCCTGTATGTTGAGGGATTTCCTCCTGACTGCACAAGGAGGGAAGTGGCCCGTATCCTTCTTACTGCTATAATGCTTGAGATTTTTTATTTCTTTTTGGTGCCTTTAATTCAATAGCCTGCTTTTGAATGGTATCTTATGTTCCTTTAACTAAGCTTTAGATATCTTCCGCCCTTTTGTGGGATATAAAGAAGTAAGACTTGTTACCAAAGAGCCCAAACATGTAAGTGAAATAAACACTCATTTCTTTTGGGTGGTTGACTTAGCTTACTGCTTTAATTGCTCAAGTTCTTTATTAGAAGAGTGATTGAATGCTAAAAGTTGACACATTTTAACAATGCAGCGTGGTGGGGATCCCATTATCCTTTGTTTTGTTGATTTTTCAAATCCAGCCTGTGCAGCAACCGCTATGAGTGCATTGCAAGGTGATTTCTTCTTTCCCTTTATTTCGACACTTGCTGGTACCTGGGTATTAGTGGAAGATGAAAAATCACTTATGGAAATAATGATGTAGAGAAATAATGATGTAGAGAATAGAAATACAATAATAAGGTTGCCTCTTACTCTTTATGATATTCATTTTTTCGTTTCAGTTCTTATTTTTCATTAAACACAGAAGATTTGGTGATACAAACGCATACATATTAGATATTACATATACACAGATAAATACACATTGCTTGAGGACTTGTACATGAGCAAGAGTACCACTTCTACTCCTTATTAATTCATTTTGACCTATCTTAAAAAAAAAAAAAAAACATTATGTGAGGAAATGTGATTAAAGATACAATTTTAAAATAATGATATTTCTTGCATTGCACTCATCAAATTAGGATTGAATCGATTGACTAGTGTGTTTACCTGAGTTGATACTTCTGTCAAATTCCTTCGTAAAGCTGACTTTTTTGTTGGATGGTGCAGGATACAGAATGGATGAACTTGATCCTGATTCAAAATACTTAAGGCTGCAATTTTCTCGGTACCCAGGCCCAAGATCAATGCCAGGAACTCGTGGACGGAGGTGAATGGCCTTGTACATTGGAGACACATAGCTGAGTGCAAACCAATTTTTACTGCGCACATCTTCATTTATGTCTTATAAAGTTGGCATCTTAACGAAATAGGTTACTTGGAACTTGCAAGTTAAATTGCGGAGAGCTCTTGGCCGCACTAACTATGCACTCTATAGATGCAAAAGAAAATTAGGAGACAAGAAAGAGAAAATTTGTAGTGATGAACAAACCCCATGTTGATCCTTGAATTGCTTCTCATTTGATGAAGCTGTGTTGTATAACAATTATTACTGTGGAAACATTTTGTTTTTCATTATTGCGTAAACCGCCTTTGCGTCTAATGTCAGTGTTCTGCCCATATGGCCATATGTATTTTGATTCTTCGACCATTTTCAGTTTCATATGCCTAGTACATTAACTTCAATATTTTTCTACAGGCCGATATTCTATATGCTGATTCCCTCTATAGACCTTACAACTCCATTCCCGGGGGTCTGAGCACTGTTCTATGGATCTGGCAAGCATATCTTGATATCGTTTATGCAACAACAGGATACAGAAAGGTGTTTGGTAAGATGCAGAGCCACCAAGAAAGCTCTCATTTGGGGTTTTTTTTCCCTCCATAAAAGGGTCATACGTACATGACTTTGTTTGCTCCTTATCTAACCTCAAAGATAGCAAATCCAGAAATATTAACATATTTTTGAGCAGTCTCATTTTACTGCACTTTTGCCTATATTCAAGTTTGGTAACATGACTAATGAATTGGTAAGATACAAGAAGTACAACTCACCAAACACATAGTACCATTGACAATTTACGTCCAAATTATGGTGTCTAGTGTGTCATAACTTTCCTTTCTTTAGCCAAACAAAGAAAAGTTGGGAATTTCTTTGACTTTTAAGGCTGTGAAGATCCAAATGCAATCGATCTCCTTTTCATGGGTTGGAAATTTGAGGCTCTCCTACTTACTATTACATACCAAACCTCGATGTGGAGAATCTAAATGTGCTTGTTAGAATCAATTCATCAGACGTGCATGTTCCAATCATTTCCTTAATTCAAAGTCATCATTTAATTACCAACTTAACATAGTGCATTGTTGAGTGCTTTTTTATTGACTTAGGCTACCTAACAAAAGGTTTAATCTAGATTAATCTCCATGTCCCGTCGGCCATAGCTTGCAATATTTGCATTCATGACCTTTTCTTGAATTTTGATTGATCATGATTCATGAGAATTAGTATGAAAGGCAATGATATATTTTATCTGTTTCAAAATGATTATTATTTTTTTAAGTGGAGTTTAGTCTTAATTGAGTCTTAGAAACAACACTATTCAGAAATCGGAGGAAAATAAATTTTTTAATTCTAAAAAAGACAATTTATCTCTAGTGTCGTATGGCCGTATCTGAAAAATCCCATAGATGTTGAGAGAATTACTTCATGCCTTGATGGTTTTGCATTGGCATTTGGTTTGACAAATGGAGGTCAGGGGACATGCCCTACTAGATGCTACTAAAAGGCGGACATCCATCAATTAATGTTCTAAACGTGGGAAAAAATGAAGCTGGCCCTAAAGCTTTCTTTTCTTTACAATCTTTACTTTCAAAAAATGTGATTGACACCTGTAATTTGTCTACAAAAATGACCCAAAAGGAGGGAAAAACAAGATGTGTACAATAGTAAACCACTAAATTGAGTATGTGGAATATTCTTATCAAACAAATTAACATAAATTAACTTGAATTAAAGTTGAACAGCATGACTCAAACTTGAGACATAAGTTTATCAGGTGCTCCATTTTAATCACTAGACCAAGGGGTATTGGCTATGGGTTTGGTTAGAGATGTTAACAAGGCCCCGTAAGGTTGGGGAGTCCCTCCCCATCTTCATCTCTATGAATGGTGAGGATGGGAATTCCTGCGATGATTTTTGATAAGATAGATTTTGCTCCTCATTCTTATTCCCCATGAGGGTCCTCATTCTTCGCTAATTAATATTAAACAATAAATCTTTCGCATATAATTAATTAATATTTAATTACAATAAATAAAATTTCAAAAATTAAGTACAATCATTTAAAATTTTTTAAATATAAAATCAAATATAAATTGTCTAAAAGATTAATAAAAATCAATTCAACATAAATAATTAAACCAACCAATTTGTTCTAAGTATAAATAAAGATTAATCCAAGTTAAACCAGCATACTTGTAATTTACCACCATCTCTACCCCCTTTTCTTCATCTTTTTAGACTCTCAATTCACAGTGGTATATTGCTAGATAACACAAAGGCCCAACCGGAGATAGGGTTTTGGATATTTTTTGGGGCAAAAAATGATGCCATTCCTTGTGATGGGCAACGAGAAGATGACGATCGTGATGGCCAATAGCGACAGAGATCGAGAGCTTCTCATTCTGGTTGCAGATTAGTTCGATGCAAAGGTAAAAGTAAAGGCAGAAAGGGTAAGAACTGAGAAGGGCAAAAGGGCGACAATGGAGGGAATAAGGTCTGAGATTCTTGAAGAAGAGTGCAGATGATAGAGCCACAAAAGGGGAGTGGAAGCTAGGAAAGTGAGAGTGATGAGAAATGAATAAGGGTTAGGGTTAAATGGTTAATAATGGGTTCGGTTGAGTTGGATAAAATTGGGTTTTTAAGTTTAATTTTTATTGGATTGGATTTGGGTTTGAGTTTAAAAGTTGAATTAAATTTAAAATAAAATTAATTTATATATTTTTTAATTTTTATGGGGATGGGAGATCTTCGCAGGGTGGGAAAAATTCCCCTGCAAAATTTTGCGAGGGAAAAATGCCCCTCGTCCCTACCCTACAGAGAGGTATATTCCTTCTCGTCCCATCCTATCCCCTCCCCATGGCAGGGATCCCCCGGAGTCCTGCAAGAATCAAGGCAAATTGCCACCTCTAGGTTTGGTCGACATTCCTTTATTTTTCTTTTTATTTTGAGTTTTTGTGTTTTTTTTTTTTTTTTGGTACATAAGAAGCCAAGTAAGGCTAGGTTCTAAGGAATGATGTTCCTAGAACATCCCCACGAAGAATACAACTGATACCCTATGGCGGAGTTTGAAAGAGTGATAGGCCTTGTGGAAGCGTGTGACCCTTGGCAGCCATAAAATCAGCTGCCGCATTTCCTTCTCTAAGGGTGTGCTGCACCTTGCATGCAGTGAAAGCATCCAAGTAATGGAAGATGTCTGAGAGAAGCACGGAAGCTGAGCCCTCCCCTGCTTTCCTTGTCTGAATCATCTGAACAGCCATGAGAGAATCCATTTCCAAGATCAGATGAGTTTTTGTGTTAATGATTCATCTTTTATGAAGTTATTTCTCAATTCAAAGTAGTTGCATATTAATCCAACTTAATTAAATTCCAAAAAAATACAATATGTAGCAAAGCTATTAAGAACATTTATTTTGGATAAAATAAGTATTTAGATTTTCGGCTTGACTGATTTTATGGTACTTATAAATTATATTGTCTATCCATAAATATAAAGTACAAATCTACTTGTAAAGTGAGAGACGCGACTCAATAAAATTGTTTATACTCAAATGGTATCAATAAAATTCACACTTGCAATTCTAAAGTATAATCTAATAAGTTAAGAGTTCATTTAACATATATATAATCTCTACAACTTTAGGGGGTATTTTAAATAGTTAAAAACTTGAAACTTCGTATTAAAGTTCTTAAATTCAAACCTTAAGACAAGCGAGGAAGAATTAAAAAATATATATATCTTTTATTGTGTATATCATCATTTGATATACTAGAAAAAAAAAACACTCTACATATATGGGTTGCCGGTCCCATTCCCTGTTTATTTGCCCAACTCCTAACAAATTAAGGTAAGCCTAACCCGAT